CACACTCATTAAGCCTCAACTCAAGTGTCCAGTTCTGGGCACCACATTTCAGGAAAGAAGTGGACAAATTGGAGAGGATCCAGAGAAGAGCAACAAAATGATTAACGGTCTAGAAACATCACCTTCTAGAGAAGACTGGAACAACCAGATTTGTTTAGTTTGGAAAAAAGTCGACTCAGAAAGGACATATAGCAACTTTCAAGTACTTAAAAGGGTGTTACAAGATGGAGAAAAAATATTCTCTTTTGCTTCTTGTTCTAGCACCAAAAGTTATGGACTTAGGTTGCAGCAGTGGAGGTTTATCATAGAATACTAGGACTGGAAGGAACCTCAAGAGGTCATCGAGTCCAGTCCCCTGCCCTCATAGTAAGACCCAGTACCATCTAGACCATCCCTGATAGATGTCTATCTAACCTGCTCTAAAATATCTCCAGAGATGGAGATTCCACAATCTCCCTAGGCAGCTTATTCCAGTGTTTAACCTCCCTGACAGTTAGGAAATTTTTCTTAATGTCTAACCTAAACTTCCCTTGCTGCAGTTTCAGCTCATTGCTTGTTGTTCTATCTCCCCGAGGTCAAGGAGAACAATTTTTCTCCCTCCTTCTTGTGATACCCTTTTAGATACCTGAAAGCCACTATCATGTCCCCTCAATCTTCTCTTTTCCAAACTAAAGAAGCCCAATTCTTTCAGTCTTCCTTCACAGGTCATGTTCTCTAGACCTTTAATCATTCTTGTTACTCTTCTCTGGACCTTCTCCAATTTCTCCACATCTTTCTTGAAATGTGGTGCCCAGAAATGGACACAATACTCCAACTGAGGCCTAATCAGCACAGAGTAGTGCGGAAGAATGACTGGACATTTAGGAAAAACTTCCTAACTGTCTGGAATAAATTGCCTAGGGAGGTTGTGAAATCTTCATCAGTGGAGATAATTAAGAGCAGATTAGATAAATGTTTGTGTGGGTTGATCTACATGGTGCTTGGTCCTGCCAGGAGTGCAGGGGACTGACCTTGATGTTCTCCCAAGGTCCCTTCCAGTTCTAGTATTCTATTAATAATGTCAAACATCCAGAAGTATTTTACACTTTTAAATTAAAATACAGAAGACACGCAAAACCAAGAAAACTGCAGTATCTTAGTAAATATAATACTTAAGGCAACAAGAATTTGGCACTCTAGAAGTATTTTAAATAGAACTGTCCTTATTCCTGTTTGCCATTTTAGTACAATATCAGACCCTAATCCTATAAATTGGTGGGTATGGGGGAACCCTTACACGTGCGTGGAATTCCATTACAGTCAGCAGGGGATCTATGCTGTTTGCCTACGTCAGGGGTCAGCAACCTTTCCAAAGTGGCGTGCTTAGATAGAACCCTGCTGCCCTGGGCTGCACTGCTCTCCCAGAAGGGAGGGATGGGCTCTCTCTACAGTGTGCCTGCTTGGTCTCCCGCCCTGGGTTCTGCTTCAGCTTTTCCTGTGGGGGTGGGAAGAGCACTGCATATGTACTTCCCTGCAAGCCAGATCCGGTATGGAACCTTGGGGCTTTCCTGCCCTCCCTGCATGAAGCCGGCGCCGTCTCCAATCCGGAGGCACAATGCTGGATTACCAGGACAGGCTCCCCGCTGTGGGTGGGGAGGAGTGAGGGGGAGTCTGTTCATTGTGCGTGCCACTGAAAATCATCTTGCGTGCCACTTACGACACACATGCCGTATGTTGCTGACTCCAGCCTACAAAGATCAGCGTGCTGAACAAGAGACTTACATTTTTGCTAAGACAACATGTGAATGAGACAAAAGATGGGGAAACATTAAAAATACTGAAAATAAAAATAAAGGCAACACAAATAATCCCTCAACTATTCAGATTTAATTTGAGTACAGTAATTCCTCATTTAACACTATAGATATGTTTCAGAAAATGGTCGTGTTAAGTGAAAACATGTTATGCGGGGTCAATTTTCCCATTGAAAATAATGGAAAAGGTGGGGGTTGCGTTTCAAGCAGTGGTGTCTGTTGGGACCGGGACATAAGGTTAGGGGAGAAAGGAGACTGAGTTACAGCAGCGAGGGGAGGTGTTTGGCTCAGGGGAAAGAAAGGGGAGGAGAGGGGAGGAAGATTGGGTTGGGAATATGCCTGTGACAGGTCTGCCGGGACCTGCACTGCATCCAGCGAGGGGGGGTTGCCGAGGAACAGTGCAGTGAACAGCGAACCCACCGGTGCTTTGCAGGGAGGCAGGAGGCGGCCCCCCCCCAGCCACCAGCCTGCAAGCGGGGGTGGAGGAGAGGGGGCAAGACGTCCGGCGAGGGACAGTCAGCGGGGAACGGCGCAGCAAGTGGTGAACTCTCTGCTGCTTTGAAGGGAGGCAGGGGAAGCCCCGCGCTGCTGCCGGCAATGGGCTGGCTGGGGAAATCGTGTTATTCCAGGGACAGTTGTGTAATTCAAAAAACTTTCCCTTAAAAAAAAAAAAAAAATCGTGCCATCGCGAAAACGTGTTAAGCGGGCACGTGTTAAATTAGGAATTACTGTAATCACTTTTGTGTTAGTTTGTTCTCTTTTCTAATGTGGTCATGTGGGGTGGAGTAGTTTGTGAGAAACTGCCACCCATCCTACTTGGCTGCATCAATGCTCAGTCTGTGTAACTCCCCCCTCCTCCACACACAGGCGCACAAGCACACACACGCATAAGCGCCACTACAGCAAGGTTAATACTCCACTTGTGAACAAGTGGATGGCTGGCAATGGTGGCACATCTGACTAAGGAAGACTTAATGCCAAGCCACCCTTAAATACGGTTCCAGAGCTGGCAAGACACCAGCAAAAATGAAGATTACTCCTCACCAGCCCAACAGCAGAGCATAGGAGTAATTGGGTCTTAGTGAAGCAAAATGCAGGACAATGTAGCACTTTAAAGACTAACAAGATGGTTTATTAGATGATGAGCTTTCATGGGCCAGACCCCATCTATAACTCATTCCTCCTTTTGGGGGAATGTGATCCCCTTCAAGGGACAGTAGATAGGGGAAAGGATTATATCCCCCAGCAGGGGGAGGTTCAGGCCAAAATCTGATTTTGATCTGAGGAAGTGGGTCTGGCCCACGAAAGCTCATCATCTAATAAACCATCTTGTTAGTCTTTAAAGTGCTACATTGTCCTGCATTTTGCTTCAGCTACCCCAGACTAACACGGCTACATCTCTATCACTGGGTCTTAGTGAGATATTTTTGATACCAAGTGGTTCCCTGTATTCTCCTGGCAATCAAGTCTCTACTTTATTTGTAAAAAACAATTCTAATCACATTTTGGAAAGGCATAGATAGGATGGATCAGGTACAGTACAAGAGAACAAAGCAAATCCTTATTTCAGGAGTTCTGTATAGGACACGGCTGAAAACCCGAAGCACTGCAACAGACATATAGTTATTTATCACAGGTTCCCAGCAGGGGGCTGGGAGAGTGCGGGGACCACCTGACGTGTGACACGAGCCACACCGCCACACAAAACGCCCCGCCAGGTGTTGGGAGGGAATAAATTAACACCCCAAACAGGTCACGGGCTAGTCACTGCCGTGTCCTGCCAACAGAGCCACGTACCGCGGTGCGCAGGAGAGGGAAGCACCAAGGCCCCCGCCCAGCTCCTCCCAACCCACCTGGCGCCCCGACAGAGCTTTGATCTGCTCCGCCTGCGCCACCCCCACCTCCTCCAGCCCCGGGGAAGGGGCACAGGGAGGGCAGCTCCGCACCCCCCACGGGCTTAGAGCCGGTGACTGTCCGCCCGGCCCGGCACAAAACACCGCCCCGCCTGGCGGCCCTGCCCGGGAGCGGCTTCTGGGCGAGCAGGTCCCGGTGTCGCTAGGCCACAGGCAGCCGCTGCCTCCCCCGCCCTGGCCCGCCTCTCACCTGCGCCACAGGGAAGCGGCGGGGGCTGCGTCCCGCTGTCCGTCTGTCTGGTCGCGCGCTGCTGCCGCGGCTCAGCTCCGTCCCCCCGGCGACTACTCCATGGCGATCGAACCAGGTACCCCCACTCTGCGCTCCCTCACTTCCGCCAGGGGGCAAGGCGGGGCCGGAAGTGGCTCTGTGGGAGGCGGGGGCAGAAGGGGGCCGTCGGCTCTAGCGGGGCATTTGATTCCGCCGTTCCGTAGCCAGAGCGAGCAGGGCGCGCGGGGGCCTGGTCAGGGGTTTCCCGCCGCCTGTTGTCCTGTCTCGTGCCGGACCCGCCGGCGCGCTTTCCGCCCCCGCCCGGAGAAAAGGATGGTCCCGTGTGAACCCGCCCGGGTTTTGTTATCCTCGCCCGGCCCGCGGCACTCGCTGCATTCGGCAATATGGGAGAGGGCGGGAATGGCAGCGTCTTCGGCACCGCCCTCCTCTCCTGGGGGCACAGTGATGGAGCGAGGGACGCCAGGCAGCCCCTCCTGGCTTGAGGTACCAATAACAACTAAATACGGGCTTTTCGCCGTCCGCATCTCCACTATAAAAACTTCCAGCACCCTCTCCTGCGGGGAATGACCTGCTGCGCTGTGAGCTCCTTTGATAACGCTTGGTACAGCTGCCTGCTTTTGCATGTCAGTACCTCATATATTGATAGGCTACGTCTACACTGGTATGACATGATTTTGCACAATAACTCTTTTGTGGAACAGTTCTTGTGCAAAATCTCTTCCAGAAGAGAGCGTCTACACTGGCATGTGCCTTTGTGTAAGAGATGTGCTTTTGCGCAAGAGCATTCATGCCAGTGTAGACGCTCTCTTGTGCAAGAAAGCTCTGATGGCCATTTTAACCATAGGGCTTTCTTGTGCAAGAAATTCATGGTGCCTGTCTACACTGGCCTCTTCTGCAAGAGGGCTTATTCCTGAGCAGGAGCATCATAGTTCTTGTGCAAGAAGCACTGATTTCACACATTAGAACATCAGTGTTCTTGCACAAGAATTTGCAGCCAGAGTAGACAGGCAGCAAGCTTTGGCGCAGAAGCGAATGCTTTTGCGCAAGAGCACATCAATGTAGACAGCCATACTCTAGTGGACAGAAAGGGTTAAAGTAGTTTTGAAAAAAGAACATTTCTGTAGGTAGCCCTGTTAGTTGCGGAAAGGTCTGTGAAAGGTTCATTGCTAATATAGGTCTACCTCAGTTGAGCCAACTAATGTGTCTAAGCACCCATGTGTGTAATTCTTTAAGTATCTTTATTAGATACTTTAAGAATATTTAGATGCTTCAGGAGGTAGCTGAGTTAGTCTGTACAGGATAAACTTAAACAAATAGTCTGGTAGCACTTTAAAGAATCAAAACATGGAGATCAGTGTTTTTCAACTTTTTTTTTGGAAAGTACTCCTTTTTAAAAAAAATTATAGGTACCCCCTTTAAAAATAAAATTAGAAGTACCCCTAGTTTTCAGACACTATTTTTCTATCATTGCAACACATTTGTTTAAACAACTTAATCGTAGCTGGGCAGGTGATGAAATGTTTGGGTATAAAAAGTACAAAAATAAAGTGCTGTAAAACTTAACACAAATTTAGTTTTCTCCAAATTTCAGTTGTGTTGAAGTACCCTTCAGCCTTCTCTCCAGAACCCCTAATGATACTCATACCACTGGTTGAGAAACACTGATGTAGATGGTATCATGAGCTTTTGTGGGCACAATCCACTTCTTAGATGACCAGGGGATGTACTCAAGCAGCTCCTGGAAGCAGTGACACGTCCCCCTCTGGCTCTTACACAGAGGGGCAGTGAAGTGGCTCTGCATGCTGCTTTGTTTGCAAGTGCTGCCCCTGCAGCTTCCATTAGGTATGGACCCTTTTTGACTAAGTGTCCTGCTTGAAAACTTGACACCAGACAACTCTCCTTTTATAGTATAGTTTTAGTGTTCCGCCTGTGGAAAAAATCAGGCCCTTACCCAATTAGGTACTCAGAATCCTAGAGTACTTGAGCCATATCCTCTGCAGAGGGAAATGGGGGAAGGAAAAAGTCTAAGAGGCTTTCATCTAAATTATGGAAGAAGGTGAGTTACTGGGGGAAGGGAGCAAGGCAAAAATAAGTTTGGTTAGTTACTACGCTCCCAGTTATTCACCCTCAGTTCTAATGTCAACAGTATGCCGACATTCAAGTCTCAGTTAAGCCTCATTTCTGCCACTCCTGAAATTATCAGCTTGCATATGCAGATCATAGCAGCTATCCTGTAGATGCCTAACCCAGATCTTCAGATCAAACTAGTAGCCCATGAGTTACTCTGTCCAGTAATTTCCATGCTCTGCAGAGCCCTCCATCCTCCCTTTAAAGGGTCAAGAGCCAAAAACTATTTTGCCATCCAAACACAGTGCACCAAATACAATAAATTCTTGCTTTTGAATCAATATTTTAAGATTTGTCAGTTCTGACATGACAGGAAATCACTGTCAATTAACTACAGCTCCTCTCCCTGTTATAGATCTTGGCTGACTCTCCTGGACTTGCCTTGTTAACCAACCAATTGTCTGTTAATGAGTAACAATATCCCTCATTGTAATTAAGCTACTCTAATTTTGGAGTGCTTATATGACTATCTGTGATTCCTGGATATTTGATTTTTTATTTACTTTTGCTAGCTGAGCTAGCCTCACTGGATAATATATCATAGTGCCTTACCACTTCATTAATCACAGTGATGCTACTCGGAGCTCTCTTGGCTACTTCCTTTTACCAGCCCATCAACTGTACCTTATCTCCTTCTTTTCCCTCTACTACAGTCTTAAAACTGCCACTTTATTTCCATTAACAGCCTTGCAGTACCTTAAAGGAAACATTTCTCTAAATATCAGAATCCTCCCAGTTCAGTGACATATGTTCTTTACACAATTTAAATTAGTAGATCTCACTAACTTACTAATTCTATCAGTACTGTATTGTTCCAAAAGTTACTTATTGTATTTTGTTGTAATTTATTTTTTTAAAAGTCAACACACTTTGTTCAACAACCAAGGATCTTCTTCCTGTCTGGTACATATAATACTCAAGAGGGGGGGCAAGGAAAAACAGGATACATATTTCAAATTAAGGAATTTGTGAGAAAGTTAGATTAAAAATGTCTTGTAAAGACCAACTGGAAGTACATTTAATTTTAACACAGGTGTTCATGGCAATTAACACAGTTGATGGGTCTATATCTAAAAGTTTACTAAGCTATATTCAACATGGGAGAACCACAAGATATAGATATGGAAAGACAAGGATTAAAATTGAGACCTGAGATGTTTATGTATGATATGCAACTCAGCAATTGGTATCATTTCATATTAAAATGTGAGTTACTGCTGGAAGGCTAACAAAGAAGTTAATCTGGAGACTGAATTGTTTTTTCTTAACTACATGTGAGAGATATGCAAAGGGGTTATTTCTTGTATAGCATTACCCTGAACTTATAAAAAAGAATAGTGTTCAGAAAGTTGGTGTAACTATTCCATTGTGGAATGTACATTTTGAGTTTAACCATTCACTGAAAATTACAGCTAGTCAGAGTAAACCTTTTATAGGATGTTTTCCCCTCCAGGATATGTTAAAATGAGCCCAGGTTAAAGAGTATTTGATGCAGATGATTCTGCATTACTATTTCAGTACAAGATATTTTCTCTTCCAACATGAATGCTGAAGTTTAAATTAAAACAAGTGTATAAAAATGAAACGTCAACACTAATCTTCAAATATGTTTCATGTCAATAGTTTAATTCACTTTTTGCATAAAAAACAACACAATGTATTAAAATGTTAATAAGGATGGAATGGAATGTGAAAATGACAAAGGGTAATATACAAAAGTTAAGTGGTAATTTAAAATTAATTGTACACATTCCTAATTAAAAAAAAGAACTGTTGTAATTTACATAAGTTTGTTCAAATAAGTATAATTAAATATCAAATTTCTCTTCACAAATACAGTGTCCATTTTCTTCATAATCTTCTCTAGTTACTACCATATCCTCAAAATCATCATTTTCAGAAATCAATTTTCCACCTTCCCAAGAATAAGTAATAGGGCTGAGGGGGGAAGAGAGAGAGTTATCATACAAGTTACTTTTAAATACTTCAACTTATGTCGTAATTTGAAAAAAATCATTGTAGGCATTTATTTAGACGTGAGCCATGTCCATTACTACATTTAAAACCAGGAGAGATTATGCCTATACATCAGAGGCAATCTGAAAAACTGCACCATTAAAAAGATGCAGTGGGGGTCTGGCTCAGTATTTCAGATCGTTTTGGTGTGTATATAAAGTTCTAAATTGGTTACCATGTATTTTAGGAACGGTAAGTTATTTGCTGCTTGATGCAAAATTATTTGATGAAAACTTTTGAGTGGTATACCTCACCAAAGTAATATTTTCAAAATGACAGCATCCACTTAAGGTTGTGAATTGGTAACAGCACTCATGAAATGTCAGCCATATAAAGAACCTTTATAAAGCTAGATCACAAATCTATACAACAGTCATCACATATTTACTACAAATACAAAGACCTCAATTTAAAACTGTTTAATACATCAGGCATGTACTATTTGTACCAGTTATTTGATCATCATGTTTTAAGGTTCCTCAGAGAGGCCAAATAACTTTTAATTCTCTGATAGAAATTATGTTTTCCTCTTTAAAAAAAAAAAAAACCAACAGAACTTCAGATGTACAAGGCTAACTAAAAAAACCCTGTCATTCTTCAAACTAGCACTAACAAAACTGGTTTGGAGCCAGTGGATATGATATAGTGATCTAAGCATTTAGTTCAAAGGAATGTTTCAAACTTAAGGTTCACATTCTAGCTGGACTGACTCGGTCTTCCAACATAGATAACATTTCTATACTATTTTCTTCCATTATTTGATCTGAGGAAGTGGGTCTGGCCCACGAAAGCTCATCATCTAATAAACCATCTTGTTAGTCTTTAAAGTGCTACATAGTCCTGTATTTTGTTTCATTTCCATACAATGCATTTATTTAGTGGAGAAGTCTTTTGGATGAGACTTTAAACCTACATTCTGGCTACTCTGTCTAGACAGTGATGATTTCATAATGATTTTAAGAGGTGACTATCTGTCTCAGTGTTCTTGTCCAAAACTATTTCTCCTGACATCTTTAGCCATCCACCCAGTTGCTACTTTCCAAATCCTAAAAATGCTGCATGTATCAATGATACGGCATGAATAATGTTTATAATACTCAGGAATTCTTTAGAATAAGACATGAAAATAATCCCCCCATCTTGCGAACACATATGTAACTGGTTAACTTTGCCTCTGTGAATGGTTTTAGTCATTTCAATGGAGCTACTCTCAGAAGTAAAGTTAAGCATGTGTAAGTGTCTGCAGCATTGGAGCAGACAAAAGAGTGGCAGGTGGTCCTGAATCTTAAATATAGCTCTGCAAATACACTTTAAGTAATGAGTTATAGCATCCTTCTGTTTTGGGCCACTTGAACAGATTAAAGTAAAGGATGGAATATAAACACAGATAAGCATCTTTAATCCACAAAAGGAATTCTACTGCACAATTTCTATTTTGTTAGGAAAAAATAAATAATAAAATAGATGCCTTTTTATTTATATTGTTTTGAACTTACTTTTCTGGCAGAACAACAGAAACATCGTAATCTGTTGGAGTGAGGCATCGAACTTCAGAGTAGACTCGATCCCTGAAGCCTGGAAAGAGGCTATTTCCCCCAGTCAGAACAATATTCTTGAAGAAGTGAGGCTGCATTTCTTTAAACAAAGCCAACATATATATATTAACAGTCTTGGCTTCTCCAAATTTCTTCATGAATATTAAGTTAAAGTGGACAATAATTAAAACTAATTTTAATTACATTTTAAATGTTCTAAATATATTAAATACATACTGATTATATTTAGGCCACACGTTATGCACATTTCAAGAGACTCCACTAAATCTGATAACAGATGTGAAACTAGTTTTCTTGTATAGTATGTGAATTTGATTAACTGCACCCTTTTAAAGTAAGAACTTTCATTAATGTCTCTCTACTTTGTGTGGCTTTCAAAATTTGTCTTTTAGAAATGTATTATTAAAAGATGAGAGCATTCCTGAAATCCAACTAATAGTATCGTCTTAATTATTTTAGAATGAATGTAGTTTTGTGGCTTTGATACTACAGTTAAGTGATGAAACTTTTTTGCTACAGAAGTTAGATACATTTCTAATGAAAATGGCCAATCTACCGAATACTATGACAATTCACATGTATTCAATGGAAGCAAGAAGTAGAACAACATGCTAGAAAGGGGATTAGTTTTCATTTTTAAGATTCAGTGGTCTCATTTGTCAGCATATATTGGCCAGCAGGAACTCCTTCCTTTTCCAATGCCCAAAGTCATTTTAAAATAAAAATGAAACTACGTTTAATTTAGCCACGAGGCTTCCATCCTCAGAGGAAATACAATTCTGGTGCGTTTTGAAGTGGAAAATGAATTCCTAAGGTTTCCATTCATACTGCCATACTAAGCACAAATAGAAACCAAGCATTTTACCAAAATGAGAATGCATTTCTGCAACAGGAAACATTAAGGAAACTGCAAAAGAGCTCTGGAGTAACTGACATTCACAAGGAGTTAAAACTGTCACACTTTACATCAATTTTAAGTTCCTTAATGCCTGATGCATCAAGTTTACTAGCCTTCTAATACTTTGGATTTAACAAAAATCTTCAGACTTCAAGAATACATTTCAAAAAATTGCTACCACTATACCTTCAGGCAAGTTCTGAATTGAATAAACAATGGCTTCAGGAATTCCCATTTCTTGAATACCAATATCTGAAGGATGAAAGAGAATTTCTGGAACAGCAAATCTCTCATTTGCCAGACGAAGTATTTGTTCCCCAGTCTTGTACTTTCCACTTAACACCATTTCTTCCCTTGGCTAAATTAGGCAGACATGAATGATAACGACTTCTTAAAAAAGGGAGCGCACACACACACAAAAGTAACAACTTTATCAGATTCTTATTTACATATTATTCCCCTGTTATGGGATGTTTTGAAAGTAGTATCTTCTATCTATTGAGTCACATAACATGCACAAGTCTTCGGGGGCTGACATCTATGGCAGAACGTAGTATCTTCTATCTATTGAGTCACATAACATGCACAAGTTTTCGGGGGCTGACATCTATTGCAGAACTTTGTAATCCCTTATAATAGACTTAAGCATGAGAATTGTGTCCAATGTTTACTTTTTCTGCCATACTGATCAGACAGTGGCGTTTACTTGAATAGCATATGAAAGCATTTTGGTGCTGCATTTCTGAAGGCATCTATTCCAGCCTCTGCACTGACACCTGCAGTTTTGCTTAAGCAAGACTAGTGCGCACTTTGGTACTAGGGATGTTAGATAGTGATTAAATGAATAGTCATGTAACCACACAATATGTTATTGATTACATGATCATTCGGTAGTTCCCCAGGGGCAGAGCCAGCATCCAGTGCACTCCCAGGGAGCTCTGCCACCTCACTGTGGGGTGGCAGCAACCTCTGCGGGGGGGCCAGCCGCAGATAGAGGATGCTCCACAGCAGCTTCTGGTGGGCCTCCCTTCTCCTGAAAGAGAAGCAGCAGGACCGAGGGGAGTGGGAGGAGGAGCAAGCAGCTTCCCATGTGTACCGATTCCCACCTGTCCCCCTCACCCTTCATGCTTCTGCCTCTATCAGAGTTGGCTCCACATGGGCACCGGCTCCTGCCTCTCTACAGCCCCTCTTGCTGTCTCTGATATAGAGGCAGCACGGGGGGGATGCTTTTATTCAAGATTAATCAATAAGCCTAGGTTTATTGATTAATCATGTACTTGACTACATGTTGATATCCCTATTTGGTACTTTTCAAGCTTTTACCCTACTTCTCTAACTTACACTACCAGTTTCGCCAAGTCTGAATATTAGACTTGAATAGTCTAGCAGGAGAACTTTTCATCTTCATTAATTAAAAAAATATTTGATCTTTGCAAAAAACATATGGCCTTAGAATGGAATACAGACATGAAAAATGTCAGCTCTAAAAGGTGAGATAGGAACAAAAGCCAGGACACTATAATGGAAGACAGTATCCCATTCTTAATTATCAATTTCTACTAGTAGTCATGTTAATAAAATTCATCCACAACATTTATTGTCTAAAGTTCCAGAAAATAGCACAACTTCTCAGGATAGCATGTGAAAAATAGCTGAAAGATACCAAAATCAGATTTGTGCCTTAGGACTATACTTTACCATAGAACTATTAAACTAGGCACAGGAAGTTAAAATTTAACTAGGCTTGGCAGCATTTAGTTTTAAATCCTATAAACTGTCTGCAAACAACATTTCAGCTTACACATTGAAATCAACAAAATATAGTCACAGTTGAAATGCCTGCAAAGGTCAGTTGCCACCTGCTCTGTAGTCATGTACGGAGCTTTCTACATTCCAGCTGTCACAGAGTGAGTGGGTTCTTTGTGTTGTCCCAGGGCTGGTGATGCCTGATCCCTGAAGGCACAAGGTGTAGTGGCAAGGCTGCAGTCCTATCAAGGCAAAGCAGAGACTTCTAACCACAATGACAGCAGAGGAAGCCAAGCCCACCGTGTGGGAGGCCACAGCTGCTGAGTGGCTCCTTGCACAGGGAAGGGAATCCTCTGCAGCCCTGATGGCTTGGACCTACTCACACAAGCTGGGAGTCTGCTCTGCCAGGACTGCAGCCTTCCCCATATCTTGTACTTGCAAAGATCAGGTATCAATAGCTCAGCAATTATGCAGGGAGCCCTCAGCAACTTCACTATCAAGAGCGAGAGAGGACCAGGAGAGCAGAGCTGCAGATGGTTCCTTGCACAGCAGTGGGACCCGTAAGATCCAATCCTAGGAGGCTCAAGATGAGAGACACACTATAGTTTTCCTGACTTAGTGGAGCAGAGAAACCAGCTACGACTGCAAGGAGTAAGATTAGCTAGCAACTGTGGGGGACACTACCCAATAGTAAATGGTTCCTAGCTGGTGAGAGAGTGGAGCTAGGAAAATGGGATCCCTGTGAGCATAAGGTGAAGGGAAAACTGGTCCTGGCTCCACAAAGCAGAGATGCCCAGCCAGGACTGCAAAGAGGAGGAGCTGTTCCCAGCCACAGGGGAAGCCTCCCTGATACTGAATGGCTCCCTTCCCAGGCAGGAGCTATTCAGTAGTAGATGCCCTTCCTGGAGACGAGCAGATGTCATCCTTCTGGCAGTCCCACACAAGGGTCTCTGCTATGCCCCATTGGGAACCCAGCCATCCTCACAAAATGTACCAGCAGGGATCCAATGTCACCTGCTCCAAAGCTGTGCAGTGAGTTCTGCAGCTCCGAAGTCATAGTCCTATTTGCTCACTCACCAGTAAAACTGCTCAGCAGGGGGTATTCTCCCTTGCAGCCAGAGCCTCAGCCAGACACGGTCTACCCTGTACCTTGCACAGGGAGCCCCCTACAGCCCCACCATCGGCATTGCCCTAACCTATTCTCAAATGCAAAAATAAAAAAGTTAAAAATTGAAAGATATCAATGAAAATCATTGTATTAGAAAAAATAAAAAACAAATTTTGCCAAGCCTAATCATAACCACATAAGCAACAGATAAGCCATTCTTGAGAAGGTGATCAACATTAAGACATAATGTACTTCACATTTCCTATTAGAACGAGGAATACAGGGCGAGATTGAGATACTGAGGCCTGGTCTACACTGGGAGTTTAGATCAAACATTAGGTTTGATTTGCATTAGATTGATTTTCTAAATAATGAGCCTACACCACCAACCCCAGTCCAACAACTTTAAGGGCTGTTAAAATCCATTTTAGTGCTCCTGCTTTTCACAAGGAGCAGTGAAATTTAACCTTGCATAGGTGACTTTAGAGTAGAACAGATGCAGCACTGTTAAAATCAGCATTCGTGGCCTCCAGGATGTGTCCCACAGTGCCCTAACTGTGACTGCTCTGGCCAGGACTTTCAACTCTGCTGCTCTCAAGGTGCTCAGGAAAAGACCCAGGAAAATTTGACAGAGATAAAAAAGAAAAAATAATAGTCACAGTTGTGATGCCTGCAAAGGTTGGTGGCCACTTGCCCTGTGGCCATTTCCTGTGTGGCCAGCATAGTGAGTAGATATCAGAGCAAGCAGCACACTTGACTATGACTGCTCAGGGTTGCAAATGAGCTCCAGGATGGAGCCTGTAAGAGATCTTGGACTTCACTGCTGTGTGTAGGGGGAGGAATCTGTTCTTGCAGAACTATGAACCAGCAAAAACACAGATATCTATGCCAAGATCAACAATTGTATTTTTTTCTTAATACAATGATTCTATGCCAATATCTATCAACGATTTAGATATTAGCATAGAAAGTACGCTTATTAAGTTTGCAGATGATACCAAGCTGGGAGGGGTTGCCACTGCTCTGGAGGATAGGGTCATAAGTCAAAATGATCTGGACAAATTGCACAAATGGTCTGAGGTAAACAGGATGAAGTTTAATAAAGACAAATGCAAAGTGCTCCACTTAGGAAGGAACAATCAGTTTCACACATACAGACTGGGAAGCGACTGTCTAGGAAGGAGTATGGCAGAAAGGAATCTAGGGATTATAGTGGACCACAAGCTGAATATGAGTCAGCAGTGTGATGCTGTTGCAAAAAAAGCAAACATGATTCTGGGATGCATTAACAGGTGTGTTGTGAGCAAGACACGAGAAGTCATTCTTCCGCTCTATTCTGCGTTGGTTAGGCCTCAGTTCTGGGCACCGCATTTCAAGAAAGATGTGGAAAAATTGGAGAGGGTCCAGAGAAGAGCAACAAGAATGATTAAAGGTCTAGAGAACATGACCTATGAAGGAAGGCTAAAAGAATTGGGTTTGTTTAGTTTGGAAAAGAGAAGGTTGAGGGGGACATGATAACAGTTTTCAGGTATCTAAAAGGGTATCATAAGGAGGAAGGAGAAAACTTGTTCATCTTGGCCTCTGAGGATAGAGCAAAAAGCAATGGGCTTAAACTGCAGCACGGGAGGTGGAGGTTGGACATCAGGAAAAAGTTCCTAACTGTCAGGATAGTCAAACACTGGAATAAATTGCCCAGGGAGGTTGTGGAATCCCCATCTCTGGAGATATTTAAGAGTAGGTTAGATAAATGTCTATCAGGGATGGTCTAGCCCTTATTTGGTCCTGCCATGAGGGCAGGGGACTGGACTGGATGACCTCTCGAGGTCCCTTCCAGTCCTAGTATTCTCTGATTCTAAGATCACAGGATCTGGTGGAGAAAGGATGTGCCTGGGACACCCAGCTGTGTTGCATGAAAATAAAGAGCTGAGGCCGGCATACAAGATGGCAAAGCAGGCAAACGGACAGTCTAGGTCATCTCTACAAACATGCTGCTTCTCTGCGCAGCTTCATAGGATACTAGGTGGGAACGGCACCTTTCTATAGATTCCTCCCAAGACACTCCTCAGGCAGCCACGTGGAGGACCGTGTGGATGAAAAAGGAGGAGAACGGTCAGCAAGTGAGTGGAACATCAGATCTCAACAAGAGTCAGGGCCTTTATCACTTTGGAAAAAACTTCCTCCTGGGATATTTTGCTGTGGGGCCATGATAAAGCGGGGAAGACACTTCTGGTAAGTTCACATTTTTTAATCATGCTACAAGTGGCTTAAGACAATTTGGTGTGATCTGTGGCAGCCACTGTGCCTACACAGTGGGGGCGGTGTAGGAGTCCTCAGAACAGCTTGTTAACATGTCTGGAATAAAACACAGAGGCACTCTTTTATCCTTCTTACAGGGTTTCTGGGGAGGCCTATCTTGTTCCGTCCACCATGGTAGGACACCCTCTCCCGCCAAGCCTGTAGTAAGTGGTCAGGCATTATTGCAGCACAAAGTCTAGTTTTATAGCCACATTTAGTCAGCAACTTCCGTGTCCATTTGAGCCCTTGCTCACCCAGGTCCCCTCCCACTTCCATGCTCCTGCAGTAGGGAAAAACTGCATTCTTCCACCCCAACACAGTCACCATGTGAGTTCCTGCCCTGTCTTGCCGCCATGCCTGGACCCCCTGCAGGCTCGAGCCCTGGCTTGTCCCTTATGCTTGCCATCAAACTGAGCCCAGCTGCTCCCCCAAGATCTCTATGGGGTGCCTGCTGCATAGTGAATGCTTAAAAGTGTAACTGTGGCCTTGTATATAACACAACCCTGTTTTCTTTGGGCAGGTCTTCCTTTACACTTAAGATATTAGATTTTATGCTTGACATTTTATCTCCTGGAATACCTGCCTTTCCATTTTTCCTTACAGTGGGTGCAGCAGCGAACATGTTTGCTGCTGCACTCTACTCCTGCTCCTCCAGCTGTCCCACTAGCACAAGTTTGAAGGTGAAAATGTACTAGGGATGACATGTTCAAGGAACAAAAATGCAATCAGCCCACATGGACAGGGAATGACTAAGTGAGTGGAGAAAAGTGATGCATGAGATGAGTGGAGTGAGAGCACAGGAGAGAACGCAGGGAAACTCAAAGTGAAGACCCAGAAGAGTCTTGACGGTCATGGCAAGGTAGACTCTGAGGCTATGTCTACACTACATGTTTTGTCGGAAGCAGCAATGCAAATGAAGCGCTGATTAGCATTTTCTCACGCTTCATTTGGATAATCTATTCCGATCCGTTTTTGCACAAGAGGTTATTGTGCAAAAACACACAGTGTGGACGTGTCCATTTTGTGCAAAAAACCCTTTTTGTGCAAAATGAAAATGTCCACACTGCATGTTTTTGTGCAAAAACCACGTGCCAAAATGGATCAGAATAGATTATCCAAATGAAGCGCGAGAAAATGCTAATCAGCGCTTCATTTCCATTGCCCTTCTGCCAAAAAAAAAAAAAATGTAGTGTAGACAGTCTGAGACAGCCACATGCACAGGCACTCCCTTCAGTCCTTGTGGACTCCTGTTCCCACTTTACCCAGTTCCATAGCCTCCTTACCTAGGCGTCCGAGAACACAGGAGAAAGGGGACAAGGGGGAGTCAAGGGCAGCCGCACACTCAACCCCCAGGGATGTGACCTGGAGCAACAGGCTGTCCTTCTCACACCTGTGACTGATGCACAGGGGGACTAATATACTGCTTTCCCTTCTCTCCACATCTTCCCCCAACGCTTCTGCCCTGAGCTCCTTTTCTGTCCCTGTTCCCCAGTGTTCCCCAATAAAAACATGATTTCTCAATGACAGTCTCTTTATTGCTTGTGTTGAAAAGGGATGGGGGCTTACAGACAAGCACACTTAACGCGGGGGCACCTCATTAAGAGCAACATGCTTGACTGTCATATCACTGTCTGGCCATTCACAAAGTTGTTTTTCAAAGCCTCTCTGATTTCCAGGGCCCTTCACTGTGCTCTCATTAATGCCCCGGTGTTTGGCTACTCATAATTATTGACTAGGCACTGTGCCTTTGCCACCTACCCTGGTATAAAACTCCCCCTTTCTTTCACAAAAACTATGGAATACACAGCAGGCTACCACAATAAGAATACAGCCTCTTCCCGACTTACGAACCGGTTATGGACCAAGCAATTGGTCATACCGCGGTTCGTTCCTAAGTCGGACCCCACTGAGTTACCCGCGACCACGCTGTTCGTAAGTGCGGATCACGTTTGTAACTCAGGGTCTGCCATTTATGACCGCTTTGGTTGTAACTGCGAACGGTCGAGGACCGGCTGTATTGCTTTTGCTGAGATCTAACCTAGTGAATGGACTGCAAAACCTTCCTTTTGAACATCCAAAAGCAGCATTCTGCACTTGCTCAGCCTGTACTTGAAATGCTCCTTACTACTGTCCAACCTGCTTGTATACAGCTTCATGAGTCACAGGATCAAGGGACAGGCTGGGTCACCAACGATCACTATAGGCATTTCAACACCTCCAAAGTTAATTTTCTGGTCTGGGAAGAAAGTTTCAGCTTTCTGAAGAAACAGGACTTCCTAAAGATCAATCTTCCCAAACCATCCCATGCTGATGTCTGTAAAAGGTCCTTGTGATCTCTCACCCCTGTAGCACCACCGAGAAATACCCCTTGTGATTTATATACTTTTTGGCAAGCTGGTCAAGTGCCAAGATAGGCATATGCATTCTATCACCCCCATCAGAGTTAGAGAACCCCATTATGGCACAAGCCCTCCATTATGCACTGGACATTTCCCAGAGTCGCTATTCTTCGTAACAGATGGATACTGATTGCCTTGGCTACTTGGATCACAAAAGCCTGAACTCTAGATTTCTCCACTCTGAACCCCCAACTGACTGGTAGCTGTCTGGTATTGCAAGTTTCCACAGGGCTATTTCCACTCACTTCTCAACCATCAAAGTAAGTCTCATTCTGGTATTCTTGTGCTTTGGGGGGAGGGGGAGCAGGGGGAGAAGCACTTCACAAGTTTCCATGTAAGTAGCCTTATGCATGTAAACGTTTCACAGCCACTGTTGATCATCCCATAGCTGCATAACTATGCAATCCCAGCAGTCTGTGCTTGTCTTGCTGCACCAGAACTGGCATTCCACTGTGTCAAGAGGATCAAATGCAGCTGGCATATGCCAGTCTCTCAACTCAAGTGCTTCACAGAAGAGTATATTCATGGTCTCCTGAGATTCTTTATCATTCTAGTAGGCTCTGGATATGTTCTGAATATACTCCAGCATAAGGTGCACAATGGTTAAATATGATTGTTGCTGTTAATAGGATTGTTAATATGCTTACCCTCCGATTACATCAGCACAGATAATGGGGGGGGGGCACAAAAAGACTGTCGTTGCTTTAAAGCAGAAAGGGAGGAAATGAGCACATTTTGGGACACTGGCAACATGTATCCAGAACTACCTGCTACACAATTTTGGAACAGCAGGTACTGAAAAATAGTTACCACCAGTGCTTTGTTCTCAATATTGACAATAGCCATCCTACTAGGAATGTACTACATCAAACTACCTTCAACTCTTGTGCACAGTGGGGACATGCACCTTCCACTTAACAAAACAGGCTGCTAGAAAATCAACCTTAATAAATTTGACTTTATCTCTCAGTGTAGACAAGGCCCGAGCCTATGATATAACAGATTCAAATTTCTAAAATCTGAAAATCAATGTCACTTTGCAAGTTAGTTAAACTCAGATCATTATATCGTACTTTTTCGGGGGAAAAAAAAACTTACCAATTAACTCCTAATGCAGAAAATATTACAAGTCAGGATCACAAAAAAAAAAATTATCCATCCTTCTTCCCTCACTACCAAAGTGTTTGAAGAGGAACAGAGAGTATTCCAGAAATCCCTGACAGTCACAATTACCTTACAAAATCCTTTTTTGATTGTGCTGAAGTCTGGCAAAACATAATCTATCATCACTGTATTTTCTTCTCCTTTCAATCTGGAAAAAACAATGAACATATAATGAAACATAGCAGAGCGTGCCAAATCCTGTAGCCTGATTTACGTAAAAGCCTCTTTGACAAGCTGGGGGACGTTGCCTGAACAAGGATAGTAGTATTTGGCTCTACACAATTAGATTTGGAAGTATCTCCTTTCAAATTTAGCAATATAGTCAACATACTTAGCGATCTCCATGTCTTTATAAAAATCCTGAGACACATAACATACATCTTCTTTAACTTGATTTATTACATGTGTTTCATCCATAACGTGTAGCTGCCTATAAAAAATTTTTAAAAAGTTAGAAGATAGATAGTTTTCACTACTGTTCAGTTTTCAAATTGCAACTACTTGACATTTCAACATGTGGAGATTTACATTAACTTACACGTAAGCAGTTTTTACATTTGGGTAAAAAAGGGTATTTTTATTAAAGTTCTTAATGTTATATGATGTATATATATTCTAATAAATCAGCTGCAGTGCACTTAAATACATGCAAAACTACAAAAGTAATATGTCTGCTGTTGAATATATTAGAGTCCTTACGATTCATCAAAAAACAAAGCACCAGTACTAAGCACTGCAGCTTTGATCTTGCATCTAAGTCTTCTAGCAAAGATCCCTGGACAGGCATAAGGTACCATCACAGAAGATCCCAATACAGCAGGAGTGAGGAACCACAGGCCTGGGGACCAGATGCATCCCCTAGCTTGCCCAGATCCAGCCGCCAAGGCTGAGGCCCCCTTCTCCCCAGCACTGGGGAGCTCACAGTGGTGCTCATGCCCCTCACCCCTGGCTGCCCTCCGCGGGGCTGAAGCACACAAAATCTACTATGCTGGGGAATGTCTTTCTCCTTCTCAGTCAAGGGCCACAGTAAGGTTTTTTGCTTGTGTGGTGCCCCCGACCCCAAAAAAGTTCCCCACCCCTGCAGTACAGGATGCCAGGTTTAGTGCAGCGGTTCCCAAACTTCTTATTAAGGTGACTTACCAATGCCTTTTATTTTATTTTTTGCAATTCACCATTACATATGCTCATCTCTGCCCCAGCACCATAATCCTAATTCCTACCCTGTGTGGAGGAGAGACTCCAGAAGAGGAGAGGTTGGACAATGAGCTTCCCACACACTCACTTTGCAGCAGCAGCTGCTGCCCTAGCAAACTGGGAAACACTGAATGGCTAAGCCAATTCATATGTGAGTTGGATGAGGGACATCTGAGTGGCACTGCATATGAGTTTCACTGAAATCCCATGCGCCTGGTTGCAACACCCAGAATGAGACAGACCCAGACCAATAGGACAAAAGCCATTGCTTCAGGATGACTACAAGGCAGGCTAGGCTCACTCTGACTGCACCTCTTCCTCCACATTGGGTTGGGCAAGTGTGTATTTACCTAGGGCCCTCAACACACATAGAACTTTCCTGCAAACACTGCCTTAGTGAGTTCTGTTCACTGGAATTAAACTGTCCAATTCTAAATGGGGTACCTTCTTATCCTCCAGGTGAAAATCTGGTTACAACTTTTCTACCATTATGACATCTCCCCCAAAAAAGTTTCTCAGCCTGTTTCTGTAAGATATTTAAGCATATGTGTAATTTGAAGCACTCAAGTAATCCCACTGAATGGAAGTACTGACATCCTTAAAATTGTGCAACTGCTTTAAGCACTTTGCTGTGCCAGAGTCATATCAGCAAGGTGTTTAAAATGGTAGCTGAAACTCAAGATGTCATCTTACACTGGCTTTTCTCTTCCTCAAAAAAGGCTTAATTATATGAATTAAAAAATGTTCGTTGACTTTTATTGGCTTCTGACCACGCTTCACATGTCTACAATTAGCACATTTTACCTGTAAGAGATTATCTCCTTTAGGTGATTGGTTAAGAGTTTTCCTCCAACATTGATCCTAGAAAAAAAACAAGACAAAAATATCATTCTGTTATTATTCACCTCAGCCATAACCAAAAAGTCACCTGGAAGGAAATAAAGCAATTTACCTAATAATTGCCTCTTTCTTCTTTTTACTTCTGCAGTAAGGTACAATGTGTGTAAAGGAGTAGCCACTATCCACAATGATACAACACAGCTCAGATGGATTGTCCCGGAAATACCTATGTGCACTGAGAGCTCCGGCTGAAACAAAAACATGCCAACCCATATTTACATATAAAATATATCTAAGCAGATATAGTACTAACCCCATATTTAGGTGTCTTCGGTAGATCTTTGGTAACTGAATACAGAATAGCTCCAACAGCATAATTTCATCCACAGCCAAAATTAATCAAACGTAATATCCCCTCTTCTCACAAAAACATCAGACTTTATCAAGCTCTATCCTTCCAAAAGCCCAAGTAGATGAATTTGCAGTATGCCCAGGTGATTCATAGATTCTACAGCCAAAAAGGACCATTTTGACTATCCAGTCATCACTTTCCTGTCAGAACTTCCCCAAAATAATTCCTAGAGCTCATCTTTTAGAAACAAACTTTGATATAAAGGTTATCCATGATGGAGAATCTACCACTACTTTTGGTAAAAGTTCTAATGGATAATTATTCACTGTTAAAAATACAGCATACATTTTTAATCAACTCAAGTTATTTTTGACTAGTTATAAAGCATCTTTCATTCCCACAGTTTTATATAAAAGAAGTAACTTAATTAGTCACTGAAATACAGTATCTGTTGGGATGGAATGTGACAATTTTTAGAAAAACATGACAAACTCGATGGGGAGGGGGGAGGTTCAAAGGGAAGCGTACCACAAACTCGATGGGGAGGGGGGAGGTTCGAAGGGAATAAAATATTTTAAAAATATTTTAAAATATTTTAAAATATTTATTCTACAACAACTATGCAGCTTTTTACAGATATTCCTTGACCAGAAAACTACAGTGTCAATTAGACATAGTATTTTAATTATTTACCACATTTATCTAAAAATTAGGGATGTTAGATAGCATGTAATTGAATAGTTGTGTAACCACATCAAATTTTATTGGTTACACGACTATTCGATAATCCTGGAGGCAGGGCCAGCAGCCAGTGTGCTCCTAGCTCAACTCCCAGGGCTCAGAGCTCCCTGCATACAGGGGCTACCACTGTGGAGCAGCTTCCATCCATGGCAAGCCAGGGCCTGCCATGGACAGAGGCAGCTTGGTGGCAGGCTCTTGTCACCTCCCCACCGCACTGCCTCCTACACAGGCAGAAGGGGGAAGGGGAGAAGTAGAACTGCAGAGCTGGCTCCTGCCTCCCTTTTCCTTCTCCCCACCCCAAGAGACAGGGAGTGGAGGGGACTGGCTCCCACCCCATGCTGCCTCTCATACAGAGCCAGCAAGGTAGGGGGAAAATGCATGAAGTCGACAGAATGAACTGATAAGCTCAGGCTTATTGGTTAATTGTGTTGTCATCTACACATTGACATCCCTACTAAAAATCTTTTTTTTTTTTTAAAGAATATTACAAGCACCCTTCACTATGTATACAAAAAGATTCTCCTTTTGTATTTATTTAAACTAAAAAGCATCAAGATAAGAAAATACATCTCTATCCCATCTTTTAAATATAATATTACATTTGGGATTTTGAGATGTTGTTTAAAACTTTTAGCAGCTCCATTGCATTCCTTTGTTAAAATATATGAAAAGAAATCCATTTGAGCAACATGCAAAAAAAGACCTGACAATCACAAGATGACATTTTCAAAAAGAGGATTAAAAGTGGTTTGGAGAACCACGTTGCGCCATAACTCTCAATTGGGTATTTGTGATTTTATAATCTCAGACAGAGGAATTTAATTACTGAGTAAAACAAACTGGAAGAATGGAAATAGTTCTTCAGCTTTCTAGTTACAGTAGTGTGAAAATTAATCTGTGTCCCTTTAATTATAAATTATAGCTATATGATTTCTTAGTTTTGGCTATAAAACTCACTCTACACCAGACACAATATGCCTGAAGAGAAAGAATCCACTCTAATTCTAATTATGCTGGGTATTCTTTAGAACACTAGAGGCAAGAAACTTTAAAACTTACAAATGGATTAAAGAGAATTTTGAAAAAGACAGAGTGCATCATAACCTACAGTTATCTTTATGAGAAAGACGGTCTTTGAATCATCTCCCTTAGTGTACACACACACACACACACACACACACACACACTTACACTTTAAAAGTACAGTAGAGCCACAGAGTTACAAACACCATAGTTATCAACTAATCCATCAAGCGCACAGATCTTTTGGAACCAGAAGTATGCAATCAGAGAGCAACCCCCCCCCCCAAACAAACAAACAAAAACAAAACAAAACAAAACAAAAACCCACCACACAACACAGAACATTGTGTTAAACTGAAATTACAGGGTTAACCTCTCTAGTCTGGTAGCCTTGGGACCTGACCTGTGCCAAACCAGAGAATTTGCTGAAGTGCAAGAGGTCAATATTGTCTAACAGCATTACCAGTATTTCTGCTGCTCACTGATCAAACTTAGAAGGCTTTTAAGGGCAAACTAGAGCTAAAACAACAGCACAGAACAGAGAGCCAGAACTGGTGGCTGTAAACAAGTATTATGGGACTGAGAAACTTGGCCACACCCATGACAAAAATCATGCCAGACCAGAGATTCTGAACTAGAGAGGTTCAACCAGAACTTAAAAAAAAAAGGGGGGGGGGTAAGATAAGTAAATTGGTTTTCATTTAAATTAAAAGCAGCATTTTTCTTCTGCATAGTAAAGTTTCAAAAATTTATTGTGTTAGTGTTCAGCTGGAACAACCGTAACATTTTGTTCAGAGTTACCAACCTCCATTCCTGAGGTTCTCATAACTGAGGTTCTACTGTACTTCCAAAGAGGAAATATGAAAAGCCCTGTTTATTTATTCTGCTTCCATTTATGTCAATAAAAGCATGATCAGGTGCAGTGTCCAATGTGTAATGAAAAATGCACATGAATAGTTTAGAAGTCTATGTTCGGTAACTCTTGAATTTCTGAACGTTTCCAGAAACAAAGAAAACAGATAAGACTTCCTCAGAAAAAGGTACAAAAAAACCTATTTAATATATTCAAGTCCAAGATCAGTGACCAATTTCAAAGCCAGTTTTTTAAAAAGAAACCAACATATCTTTCCTGTAATTTCAGCATAGCACTACCAGTACTTAACTGTGTTTAGAATTTGTCTAAAAAGTGACCCAATAGCTCACAAAGACCTTCCCCACATGCACTGCCAACTCATTCCTCCCATACCTTTAAAACAATATCAGAAAGGGCACTGTAAGATGAATCATGCCACCAATTTCTTGTGTTCTGTGGGATAGAATGTATTATATGATTGTAGCATTGTATTTCATGGGCCACTTCAGAAGGTGAATGAAAACTGTCAGAAATTCCATACAAATCTAACTAAGAAAGAAGTAGCAATATAGTGTCTTTCACATACTTCCCCATCTCAACATCCCTATTATCAGAAGCCAACTTAAAAATGGAAACTTGACAAAGTTACTTCTATCTGCATACACTGATACTCCCCTTGCTTTCACTTTGTTTCTAGCTGTTGCATATTAAAATATTATAAATACAGAAGAATATAGAAGACATATTAGACAAACAAGTACAATTTAACAGGTTATAGAACTAAAAAGGTACATACTACTATAGAATCAGGGAAACGAAGTAATTTCTTTGGTAATTTCTTTGGCACACTATTTTTAAAAAGAGGGAAGTTAACTTGGAGCACACTAATGCAGAGCAACAAAATATATACTCACCATTTACTCTAAGAACTGCTTGAAACTGATATTCTTCAAATAAAATTTCATTCATAGAGTCTTGTATTGAACTGAAGTTAAAATAAGGTTCAGTAATAATAATATTTGTATCTACAAAGTCCACCTATGGAGAAGAAGAATAAAGTTGTGTTCCCAAACAACATTTTAGAAACCACTATCCATCTTACTTACATTTTGTGGTGTGTTACAACCACCATGCTATTTAAAACTGCTCCCTGGCCAATTATGGATATCAAGCAGCTAGCTCCTGGTAGCACTGTGTCATGCAGATTTTTGAAGGGCTTTTTTAAAAAAACAAACAAACAAAAAATAGTATGTGCATTTTCACTGCTTCACCACACAAGGTGTTATAATTTTTCAGGACAGAATGGAATGCCTCCATTTCCATGACCTATGCCCCTAATTTAAACATTATGACACTTAAGAATAACCTATCCTTTTAAAGTATTCTTTTAATTATCACCCATTGAAATGTAAGGAAAGATAAGAGTGCATACAAGAAACTTTACCCTAGTCCTACTAACAAATGACAATTTCCCTTCAGTACTGTACTCTGCTATTTGTATAAACGCGTGCTTCCTTTAGTAATGTGGGCTATATCATGGTCCCACTGAAATCGACGGCCAAACTCAGTGACTTCAGTAAGGCCAGAATTTCACTTTGTTTTTTCTGCAGTTACTCTGTTCTCAGATATTCTAAAACAGTCCTTCACTAAACTGCTGTCATCATAATGGGCTTAATGGTAATTAGAGCACACAAATCGAGTTCCTTCTTTACTGCTCACTCGCCAAGTCAGTACAAAACCCACAGCAATGAGTGTCCTTAATAAACCCGAATAGTTTAAAATTTTTAACCAGCCCAATTTCTCCATCCAAATACACACACAAAATATTTGGAGGAGTTATTTTGGCTCCCAACATCTTCCCCTTTAGGGGCTGCAAAGACAGGTTTTATAAGTTAACATCTTATTTTTGTGAAAAAAATTATGGCTTTAATCACCAATGCTCTTTTTGTGCTAAACCATGTTGGTAAGGTGAGCAAAATAATATTCTAATAATACACTTTATAAATTCAGCTTATTCTTCCTAAGAATGATAAATACATGCACAGAAAAAGGCTATTTGATTCTAAAAAACTGTCAATGTAAATCTTGGTACTTCTTCCACTTTTGTAACGGTCTCCTTCAATTCCCATCCCTGCAACAAAAGTCTCGCTCTTTAAATAAGTCAAGATTTAAATAGTAAAAAAGCAACCATCTAGTAACTTTTACTAGCTGAAGCCCTAATCTTGCAAACACACGTTTAACTTTACACCAGTGACTAGCCCTACTCAAGTCACCCAATTACTTGTGAGAGTAAAGTTAAAAAAGGGTTCTAGCTTGCAAGGTCATGGCCTGAACAAACTGAGCTCAAAATCATAGGTAACTCATTTTTCTAAATTTTAGGTATGAGTGTTGTTGAATTCTCTGCAAAATTCATAAGTTAGTGAATTAACCAATATATCCATGATTTGGAATATTTTTGTATTACTTCTATTACCATAAAGTCACGAGTATAGTGCACACTTTTTTCCCATTTTTTAACGTCAAAGTCGGGGTGCGCATTATCCATAGGAGGTTTTTTAAAAAGTTTTAAATTCACCCTCGGCAGGCACAAGCTGGGGGTGTGAGGGGGAAGTAGGCACGGGCTGGGCTGGGCTGTGGCAGGGGAGCTGGCAGGCGCAAGCTTGGCGCACCGGCAGCTGGGCAGGGAAGGCTCCCCCGGCAGGCATGAGCTCGGTGCGCACGAGCTCAGCTGGGTAAGGGGACCCCGAGGCAGGCGTGAGCTCAGTTGGGCAGAGGGTCCGGCGGCAGGCACGAGCCCTTTCCTTCCTATGCATACCTTAAAATCTCAAGTATAATGTGGGTGCACATTATAAATAAGAGTTTAGTTTATTCGAGAATTTTGACCTTTAAAAGGCAGATGCGCATTATACATAGGTGTGCATTATACTCAAAATTTTACGGTAATTCTTTTGAGTCTTTATTTAAGATACAAAAATCTGTGTTTTAGTTACCTGATACATTTCCTTTCCAAAAAGATAATCCCAAACCTGTCTCTGAACATCCCAATTCACCAAGTAACCCTATGGAAGTTTGAAAAAGAAAAAAAAAAGACATTAATAAATATGCAATGCTCTTTTACAAATAATCACTAACATTTGCAGAATTTCAAGCTTCCAACAGTGATTGCTAGATGGATTTGGAGACTATCAAAAATTACAAATAAGAGCTTCTTTAAGATTATGGAAGCCCTTCCAAATGGAGTAAATGTTATCCAGCTACAAACAAGAAGATACAAAGATAAGTGATATTGTGCCTCTACTGCTCCCTATGACTTAGGATACCATAATATGAATTGTGCTTCCTACCTTGGCTTTGCAAGCCACACTTCATGCCTGATACTGAAGCTACACTGTTGTATCTAAGCCTTTTTTAAATATTGTTTATGGCTCTGCACTTGTAGCATATTGCATATATTAAAAATAAATATTCCTTAATCAATGGGCTGTCACAGACTGCATTGTTAAAACTGCAAAGTATTTTAATTACCTTCTGAAAAGGGAGAATGTAGAAGAGTCCAGAGGGATCTTTAATTTCGTCCAGTTGATTTGCTGTAAAAGTTTTCAAACGTGCGGTCTTTGATCTAAACTGGCAGTTGGGAATAACACTGAAAAAAAGTTAAGATTATTTTCCTACGCATCACATAAAATGTACAATATGATTTTTACATCCTAACAAATTCCATAAATATATCTATGACTGCATTTTTTAGAAAGAAGCAGTTTACTGCAAAACCACATAATTCAACATACAGAGTTAGAGAAATGGGAAGTGCTTTAAAAAAAAAAAAAAAAAGGTTACACAAACTTTCAACCAGAAGCTAAAAACATTTTCCTTCCTTAACAATCACATCTTTTTGGTTTTGAACTAGCCCAACTGAGGTATTTGCCCAATACTCAATGGTCTGGGCTTTGAATACGTAAAAAGATCACTTAAGGCTAAGGTAAGGACAATAATCAACAACAGCCGGATGTTAAAATTAAAAAAAAAAAATCAAATTAATAGAGACTCGCGAATCTGTGGATATCCGTTTTATATCCGCAGGTATCCACACCCGCGAAAGTAGATGCTGATCTCTGTGGCTCATTTTTACAGATATGGTGCAGATGCAAATACAAATTTTGCATCTAGAACCCTGCAAATTTGTGGATATCTGCTTTCTATTAGGGGTGTAATAGTATAGTTGATTAACCAATAAGCAAAAGCCTGCCTGCCTAGCTCCTCCTACATTTTAAATGCAGAGCCGCAGCGAGGTTTGGTTCCAAGCCCCATGCAAGCTGGGACCGAGCCAGGCTGCCTGCCCACATGGCTCCTACTAGGTTTTAAATGCAGAGCCAGGACTAAGCACTTTAGCTGCCTTCCCTTATCGACTAATCATGTAGTCAATAAAAATTCGATCAACTATATGATTAGCAAATTACCTTTTTCTTAGCATCCCACCTTTATATCCGTGGGTATCTACATCTTTGAATGTTGATGCAGAGAGCTGTGAATTATTTTTGCAATACAGATTAGGGTTCTACAAATTGGACAAAATTCCCCACTTTCTTTTTTAATTCAAAGTGTGAGTGATTAACAATTAAAATAAACTTCAAGGAAATGGAGAATCCACCATCTCATGATGTCTTCAACACTGATGCCTTTTTCTGGAAGATATGTTTTAGGTGGCAAAGTTCAATGTTAACAAGAACATAACATAAATACAGCCATACTGCATCAGACCAAAGGTCCATCTAACCCACTATCCTGTTTTCTAACACAGGCAAATGCCAGCTGCCTCAGAGGGAGTAAACACATCAGATAATCACCACATGATCCCTCTCCTGTCATCCATTTCCAGACAAACAGAGATTAGGGACAATTCCTGCACATCCTAGCTAATAGCCATTGATGGACCTAACCTCCATGAATTTATCTAGTTCTTTTTTTAACCCTGTTCAAGTCCTCCTAGTCTTCACAACATCCTCTGACAAGGAGTTCTACAGGTTGACTGTACAGTACGTGAAGAAAAACTTTTTTGTTTTAAACCTGTTACGTACTAATTTCATTTGGTGACCCCTATTTCTTATGTTATGGGAGTAAGTACTATAAATAAATTTTCCTTATTCACTTTGTCCACGTCAGTCATGATTTTAGAGACCTCCATCATATCCCTCCATAACTTTTTAAGATGAAAAGTCCAGTCTTTTTAATCTCTCCATGTAGGACCCATTCCAAGCCCCTAATCATTTGTGTTGCCCTTTTCTGAACCTTTTCTAAAGCCAATATCTTTTTTGAGATAAAGCGACCACATCTGCATGCAGTATTGAAGATGCGGTGTAGCATGGTTTTATAAAGAGACAATAAAGCTATCCTCCGTCTTATTTTCTATCCCTTTTTTAACTATTCCTAATATTTAGTTTGCTTTTCGAGTGCAGCTGCACATTGAGTTCTCACATTTCCAGAGAACTATCCACAATGACTCCAAGATCTCTCCCTTGAGTAGTTTTAGCTAAATTAGTTCCTATCATATTGTATGTATAGTTGGGATTATTTTTTCCCAAACTGCATTACTTTACATTTACCAACTTAAATGTCATTTTCTATTTTGTTGCCCAATCCCTTAGTTTGGTGACACCTTATAGACTAACAGATTTATTGGAGCATAAGCTTTCGTGGGCAAAGACCCACTTTGTCAGATGCATCTTTGCCCACGAAAGCTTATGCTTCAATAAATCTGTCAGTCTGTAAGGTGACACAGGACTTCTCTTGTTTATGCGGATTCAGACTAACATGGTTACCCCTCTGATACTTAGTTTGGGAAGATCTTTTTGAAGCTCTTCACAGTCTGCTTTGGTCTTAACTATCTTGAGCAGTTTAGTACCATCAGCAAATTTTGCCACCTCACTGTTCACCCTTTTTTCCAGATCATTTATAAATAGGTTGAAAAGGATTGGTCCTAGTACGGACCCTTGAGGGACACCACTAGTTACCTGTCTCCATTTAAAAACTTACCATTTATTCCTTCCCTTTGTTTCCTGTCTTAACTAGTTATCAATCCATGAAAGGACCTTCCCTCTTATCCCATGACAAACAACTTTACTTAAGAAGCTTTGATGAGGGACCTCGTTAAAGGCTTTCTGGAAATCTAAGTACACTATAGCCACTAGATTCCCCTTGGCCACATGTTTGTTGATCCCCTCAAAGAACTCAAAGAAACCATGTGACTTTTCCTCAACAAATTTATGTTTATTTACATGTCTAATAATTTTATTCTCTACTATAGTTTCAACTAATGTGCCCAGTACTGATATTAGACTTACCACTAATCGCCAGTATCACTTCTACAGCCCTTTTTAAATTTTGGTGTCACATTAGCCATCTTCCAGCCATTGGGTACAGAAGCTGATTTAAAGGATAGGTTACAAACAACAGTTCATAATTCTGCAATTTCATATTTAAGTTCTTTCGGAACACTTGGGTAAATGCCATCTGGTCCTGGTGACTTGTTACTGTTAAGTTCATCAGTTTATTCCAAAAGCTCCTCTAATGACACCTCAATCGGAGACAACTCCTCAGATTTGTCACCTAAAAAGAATGGCTCAGGTTTGGAAATCTCCCTAATATCCTCAGCATGAAGACTGAAGCAAAGAATTCATTTTGTTTCTCCGCAATGACTTTATCATCTTTGAGTGCTCCTTTAGCATCTCAATAGTCTAGAAGCCCCACTGGTTGTTTAGCAGGCTTCCTGCTTCTGACGTACATAAAACACATTTTGCTATTACTTTTTGGCTACCTGCTCTTCAAACTCCTTTTTAACTTTTATTATATTTTTACATTTAATTTGACAGTTTATGCTCCTTTCTATTTTCCTCACTAGGATTTAATTTCTGTATGTTAAATGACATCTTTAACTCTCACTCCTTTTACTTGGTTGTTAATCCCCGTGGTACTTTTTTGGTTTTCTTACTGTATTTTTTAATTTGGGGTATACCTTTAAGATGGGCCTTTATTATGGTGTCTTTGAAAAGTTTCCATGCGGACTGCAGGGATTTTACTTTAGTCATTGTACCTTTTAATTTCTGATTAACAAATTCCTCATTTTTGTGACACTGAAGCTTTACCAATATGGCTGTCCAATAATGATGTAGGAATGCTGTTGATACACTCCAAGTGAAAACTAAGCATACGGGTGCCTCCCCCCACTTTGAAAATCCCCTCAGCCTGCCCACTCCTGGACTGTCCAAGCTACAGCCCTTGCTCCCTCTGCAATAAAGGCAGCAACACTAGCAAATGCACAAGATAAAAAAAATCTTAAGTTAGATCCTGAAAAATACAGAGACTGACCCCTAAATCATAAAGGTTTTCCCCACCCTAAAAATTACATTGTACGTTTAGGTCAATCTCTTCACTTTTAAACTCTCCCTACCCATCCCCAAAGTGTGTGTGACAATTAGTGTTGCCCTCTCTTCCGCATGCATCAGATAAGGTGCTTTTAGTCCCTGCTGTAGGAGCTCTCACCTCCCACATCTGCCCATCTCCCACCTGGCAGTTAGTGCTGTCCCCACCCAATCTACCTCAATCTAGTGCCCTCCCCCCAACCATGATCATGGCCTATCAGATCAGTCATGCTCCCACATCAACTCCCACTGCCTTTAAATTCACCCTCCTAGCAATCAGCCCATGTACTCAGAACAGCACCATTAATACAGCCTACCCACCTCATTAAGGCCCCACCCTTCTCCATGTAATCCCCCTGAAATCCTCAGGGCATAATTCAACCCTCAAAGTCTCAATTCTGTTTCTCTTAGGGTTCTTCACCCTCCTCAGGCCTAAGACACCTACAGGGAGTTCCTCCTCCCACTTCCCAGGTTGGCATTGGGGATGAGGATGACAGCAGGGCATCCCAGGTGCCTGCAGCATCCCCTGTCATTGCTGGTTGGCAGGCAGGCAGCAGAGAGGGAGCCTCTGGACTCTGAGGCTCCCATTGTCAGCCTGCCCTGTTTGGGACAGGCTGCTGGTGAGCACCTCCCCTCACAAGGACTCCAAGAGGAAGAACTCTCACAATCACCTACATGTGGCTGTGGCCTACTGTCCGGATGAGGGACAAATGGGTAGGACTGGCCACCAGACCTACCAGCTGGATCAGCAGGGCTAGCAAATAGCAGAAGCTAGGATGTCACAGCACTTTCTAGGTAAAGTTAACCCTGGCTAACGATCTGAGGCAAAGACCCTGCCTCCGTGAGTGTTCCAGGGCTCCTGGGGAAAAAACCAGGGGATGCTAAGCACCCACCAGCCACAGCTGTTTGGCAGCACCACTGATCAGCTGGTTGGGGGAGGAGGGGCTCAGATGAGCTAATTGGTAGTGTCCTGGAATAGCTAACTGGGGCCAACACAAAACAGCTGTTTGGTGGCTTGGAGAGGGGCTTGGAGTAGTGTGGAAACCAGTGAGTGGCCGGTGGGCAGAGGCCTTGGGGAGGGGGCAGAGCAAGGGTGGGAAGAGGGAGAGCAAAAGTGGAGTGGGGGGTGGGGGGACGCTCAGGGCAGAACAGGGGTGGAGCATCCCCAGGAAAAAATAAGTCTGTGTCTATGGAGAGAGAGATTGAAAAAGGAATGAAAGTACTTTCTGTGTGACAAGAGGTTCTAGTTCTTTTGAGTCAGATTCAATTCCCAATAGAGGCAATAGATTCCCACTCATTGAGAGACTTGTACTGGGTAATGAGAGAGTCAAATAATTAAATCCCATTTATCTCCTCTTTTAAAATCAAAGACAAAACACAATTCCTGCCTCTTTTCCACACAACAAGGCCTCGCTGCGGGTAACATTCCAACGACCAAAAGCTATGTACTTAACTCTCAAATGAGTTTATCACAGTAAGGTCATTACATTTTATGGACTAAGTGTTTCAGCAAGTGGAGGAAGAGGATTGTTGTGAAATTTGGATGGATGTGCATAATGTCACTTTTGAGCCATAGTCTGGGTTTGTGGAACATGCAAGACTTGATTAAACTGATGTAACAAATGAACTATGCCTTTATTGTATTAGCTATATCACAGCATGCATCACAGTGGAAAGCTGCGTGATGAAAAATTTTAGAGAGAAACTAAAGGCAGGGACTCACGTGATTTTCAGTCCTGCCCTCAGCTTTCGGCGCCAATAGTGGTTTCTCCCTCCCCCATTGCTGCCTCTATCAGAGAGAGGCAGGGGGGTGAAACAGCCAGTGCTGGTGGGAGCCAGCTTAAAAGCCAGTTCCTCCCAGCATGGGGGAGAAGGGGAGGCAGAGGCACAGCAGGAGAATGGGGTGAGTGGGGACTAAAGTTTCTTTGCTGTGTCCCTGCCTCCCAAGACAGCAAGTGGGAGGGGGAATAGCCAGAGGAGGCTGCTGTGAAGCAGCCCCTGTTTGTGGTGGATAGGGCTGTATGCTGCAAACAGGGGGTGCTGGACTTTGCAAGAGCCCAGAACAAGCAGTCTTGGCTCATGCTGGTCCGGGATGCTGCACCTCTGCATTTTAAATATAGGAAGAGTTGCAGCATGGGTGGCTTCCAGAGCCAACAGGAGCCAGGAATACTAAGTCCTGGCTTGAGCCCACTCTTGATGCTACCCTGTGCTGTGGCTCTGCAGAGCAGTCATCTCATGGCTTGACTTTGCGAACGAAGATTTAGGAAGGGGTTTGTCCACGTCTGATGCAAGCTCAGTGGTGACTAACGAGTCCAATGCGGGACAAGCAGATTCGGCCGCAGTCGCAGCAAGGGAAATTCTGTTCTGAGTTTAGTGCTGCGGTGTCATAATTCTGCCTCCATGTCCTTTTGTCCTCAAGATCAGTCCTACGTGTAGTCTCGAAGGAGGAGACAGCCTGGTGAATGGTGT